GGGGGGGGGGGGGGGATGGGGCAGGACAGTTACACTGAGGTCAATGACAAGGTCAAATGTGTTCCTGGAGCCAGCTGTGCCAGGAAGGTTGTCTTTGGACCAGGTCGGGCCGACACTCCCCGTGGACACGGGATTCTGTGAATTGGATGCTCTCCATGCCTTCACTGCAGGACGAGGGCTGAAGGACAAGAGCAGTGAGCCCAGTGGAAACTAGCAAGAATGACCCAACAGAAATCACCCCTCCTTCCTCTTCTCTTTCTCTTTTTGTTTTTACAGGAACCTGCTTCTCCGTAGGCACCCCTTGTCTGCATCTAGCACGGTAACGGACGCACGTGGAAGAAAGATGAACAGAAGCAAAATGGTAAAGCTGAATGTGGTCAATGCAAATTTGAACAGATCGGATTCCTCTGAGCCTAATGATAAGCGAACGCTCCTGCCATGTTGATGACAAAGGCAAACAAGAGAAATATGTGGTTGGGCCTCACTTCAGATGATAAAGGTTATCAATTGCTTCTGACCCATATGAAAGTTCCAACAGTCTCTGTAAGATAAGCACAGGCTTTATGTTACACACAGAGAGGTTCTTTTTAGGGGAATTTGGTAAGAGGGCTACCCCATGTAGCGGCTGGCTGCTTAGCATGATGTCAGGCTTCTGGCTGTGTCCTGGGCTCCAAATCCTGGTTCCTGTTGAGCACCATCTGACGTGAGCAGGTGGACAATTTGTTTACCCATTTAGGAGTGTGGCCATGATCCACTCAACCCATTGTTTAACCCGGGGGTTTTATACCTCCTGGCAAAAAGGGGGAAGTCTACTGATTCCAGAGGTGACCAGATGTCTCAGCAGCTCCTAAACAGAGTTTCACAGACTGTTCCTTAGAACTCATCTCTCTCTCCTAAGCTTACTGTGACTCTATACCTGGACATGTCTTCTTTTTTAAAAATGAACATATAATTCACATAAAATTCACTCTTTGAGAGGGTACATGTCAGTGGTTTTCGGTATATTCACAGGGCCGTGCAACCACCATTGCTATATAATTCTAGAACATTTTTATCACCCCCAAATCGACATATCTACTTGACAGAGCTATAGGATTACAGATCTCTTAAGAAGCAGCACCAATTTTGCTACTGGAAAATCTGCAATGGTGAGGCCGAAAATTAAGGTATTAATCTAATTTGAGGTGCAACTCAAACAGAATGTTATTTTGTTCTTTAGGTACATTATATACTTTGCAGTATGCCTTCAAACCTTCAAAATGGCAATGCATCTACAACTCCAAAGGCTACATACAAATATACATATATTAAAGGAAATGTGTTTGGGGTAAATAAAAAGAATCTGGAAAATTCTCTTTAGAGTGCCTGTATATTCAGGAGAAGGCAAGCCATGCCTTTGTCCTTTTTCCTCTTCCATCCTAATTATCTCTACCAACTTTCTTTCCCTCCACTTGCAGAGATGCAGCTCCAGACTGAACCCTTGTACGAGAGGACTCTGCAGCTCCCCAGACCTGCGGTGGCTGCCTTGTGCTGGTCTCACTCTGATCCCGCGCTCCTCTCCCAGGAACAGGCTCCAGGCTGCTCTCTGAATCGCAGTACCTGTGTTTGTAACGATTAAGAAATCCAAATCTCTGTTTTGCTGGCCTGCCTTGTTTCTGCTGGTCCCCTGGGGACTTGTCTCAAGGTGCTGCGGGCCAGGCTGGCTCTTCCAAGTCCCCGAGTCCTGCCTGCTGGGGCTTGGTTTCCAGTTAGCCTGCGCTAGATCTCCTTTATGCACTGGAGCTCCTGTATGCCAATCTCCTTCTGCCTGGATGCTTTGCCAGGCACATCCTTTGAATGCCATGTGTGGGCGTGAATGAATGGATGCCCGCTAGCCCCTCCCAGTGCCATCCCTCCTTTTGCCTACAGATTTTGGTCCTGATGTCTACCATCTCACCAGGCCCCTGGAGTCCCTGCTGGTCCTCAAGCCTTCCCTTCCAACTGCTCAGAATTGGGGCCTAACTCCACCCTCCAAGACCAAGCTCTCAATGGTTGAGAGTTGGCGGCTGTTATTACTGATAGCGATGGTAGTAAGGCAGTAATTTGATAGAAAGCTGTTCCTGCTCCAGTGTTACAGAATAGGGGAATAGGGACTAGGGGAATTTAGCCTAAGGCTGCAGTCAGTGGGGTGATTTCTTAGCCCACCTACAGTCTCCTTTTCTGCTCAAAATGCAAGAGCAAAAGGCCTTTGGTAACTGAATTGAGATACACAACCTTCTAGTTATCTAGATCTTTTTTTTCCCAGTTCTCGTTTAAGATTGACTTGTTTCCTTCTAAAACAATAGAGCTTTTGAACCATCGCTGTTTTCATTAAACAAATAAAGCGGAACCACTTTTTAAATTTCTAGTTATTAGGGGCGCCTGGGTGGCTCAGTTGGTTGAGCGTCAGACTCTTGGTTTCGGCTTGGGTCATGATCTCAGGGTCATGATCTCCGGGTCGTGAGTTCCAGCCCCATGTCCAGCTCCACACTCAGTACTGAGTCTGCTGGAGATTCTCTCTTCCTCTCCCTCCCTCTTCCTTCTCCCTCCCCCCACACTCACGCAGCAGCTCCTGCTCTCTCTCTCAAATAATAAATAAACAAGCAAATGTCTAGTTATTAAATAAAGAACGTGACACAAAATTCAAAAGTAACAACAGGCTTTGGGGCAAGTCTCCCTGCCGCCCTTCTCCCAACCACTTCTCCTAGTAGGACCAGTGCGACCATTCCCTTGTGCATCCCTGGGCAGGTGTAGGGGAGAACTGACCCGTGATCCAATGGGGAAACTATTCTACAAAACAACTGCTCTGGAGGCCAGCCTGAGGTCAGGTCTGTTTGTAGCACTTGTGTTTGGGGAATACAATGGTTCTTATAAGTCTTAGTGGGGAAAAAAGCCAAAAAACTAGCCGTGGGGCCACCTGGGTGGCTCAGTCGTTAAGCGTCTGCCTTTGGCTCAGGCCACGATCCCAGGGTCCTGGGATAGAGCCCCACATTGGGCTCCCTGCTCGGTCGGAAGCCTGCTTCTCCCTCTCCCACTCCCCCTGCTTGTGTTCCCTCTCTCGCTGTCTCTATCAAATAAATAAATAAAATCTTAAAAAAAAAAAAAAAACAAACAGCCATGTATCGACAGGGTCCTACTACAGTTCTTATAACCTACTAAAATGAGGTCTGGCCCACAGAGTTTATGTCAACTAACCTTTGTTTTCTAATAGACTTCCCCTGAATTAATAAGGAACACTAGAGTCTGTTTATAGCAAATAGGCTTTACATTGCCCACCCACCCGCATAAATTCCTTGGAAAGTGCTAAAAAAAGGAGTTAAAATGGCAAGATGATATACTTAATTCATTTGCCTTCGGTTGCTTGACTTTCTTGTATGTTTTGTGTCATGTGTATGTTTTTTCCAAGGCATACAGGCTGCTGTTTATTTTGACAGATGACAAACTCGTCTTGAAGAAGCATGTCCACAGTCGGTGCAAGGCTTTGGGAGGCAGGGGCAAGATAATAAATGGTAAATCAAGTTTCTCTTTATAAAGCTACATGGATTTATTTCCCAATGCAAAGCCATGTGGGGTCTAATTCTGAAAAAACCCGCAGCCGAGGAAACATGACCTCTCCGTCAGTGGAGCGACAGAAACCAGCAGGTCTATATTTAGATCTTGTAGGGAAGGTTGACTTAAATATTTATTTTTTGTGCTGTTAAGCAACCCAATTGTAGTGAAAGTCATCATGGACACTAAAATTACTTTCTGGCCCTACTGAAAATTCATGCTGACATCTAACAAAGCAGAAGGAAGCTTGGCTCCTTCTGTCAGATCAAGGGGAAAAAGAACCCAACCCAGAAAAACAAATGAGGGATTTTCCATAGATTTTATTCTATAAAATATCATCCGTGACTATATTTGAGAAATTTGGCTATAATTAAGTAAAGATGGTATCAAATTTCTGAATGTTGCAGAATTGAAAGATGTGGTTTTTGTTAAGAGAGAAACTATGAAATGTGAAACTAACACCTCACAATAGTCCTGCTGCCCTTAAGAAAAAGCATCTTTAAAGAAAGTCACCACTGAATACAAAGTACAAGGGACCTGCGTCCCCCAGAACACCAAGAGAACTGGTTTACTAGCATGGTCTCACGCCAGGAAACTGTCTCTGAAGACTTTGTTTCCAGAAACAAACAAACAACAAACAAAATAGTGATAAAGATGATTGAACAGAGCAGAGCAACCTAGCAAAAGGGGTTGCTCCTCGAAGGTTTCCTTGAGCGACTTTTTTTCTTAGTCGGCTGCGAAGACAGGCCGGAGAGCTCTGAGTTTGTCCCCTCACAGATGTCTCAATTAGTGTGCAAAACCCTTCACCTCGAGATGTTCTGAGGAGCCTTGGGGTCTTGCTTCTTTCTTAGTTCCTCTCCTCCAGAAGCTTCCAGATGCTGTTCTCTACTTTATCTGTTCTCGATCATGGCACAGTCATACGTCTATTGATTAAAAGAAAGCATCCTGCCCTCATGCTTCTTGGTTAAAGTTCATAACTAGAAGTGGAAATGACATAGGCGTCATTTGTAGCTCAGAGGTCCGATAAGACAGGTTTCTACAGAAAAAAAGAAAAATGAAATACTAACTAAAATAAAGTCTGATGTGCCTGCATGTAGGAATTCAGCAGAACAGAGGGAGGGGCCAGGAGAACACGGGAAGAGGGGAGCATGAGACCGGGAGGAAGGGCCTGGCCAGGCAGCCCCACTGGTTAGGACAGTGGGGCTCCAGGACAGGATTCTTCCACCCAGTGCTCAGAACTGAGCTTCCAGTTTGGCCGGGATAGTAAAATGCTTGACATCGCTTTAATAAAACTGTCTACATTTCTACAATTTGAGGACAAAGGGGAGGGCAATTCTAAGCCTTAGTCTTCTCACCTGTAAAATGGGGCTGATCACCGCAGGCCTCCCACTGCAGTGAGGCTCAGATGTGATAATCCATGTAAATGAGGCAGCAATACTCAGAAAAATTAAGGCTCTGCTTCCTCACGTTGAAGCTGAAGACCTCTCTAGTAACTGGTGGCAGAATGAAGTGAGGTAACCTATTTATTCGCTCAGCACAGTGGTAGACCCCTGGCCATGGTCAGTGATGGGGGGGCGGGAATTCTGTGCCCACCCAAGCAGGATTAGTAAGCATCCATTACTTACATCAGATCATTCCCTGAAGGGGTAAAGGGAAGACTGTCACCAGAAAGGGGGAACAGGGTGGGGAAGAGAGGGTGGGGACCTGCAAGAAAATTCTGAAGGCCCGCAGCCTCAACTGAGTGCGCCATCCCTGCTTACCTGCAACCTAGCTATGCCAGTAAAGGTGATGGCACAGTATTTCAGCTGGGTGACTGGAAAAAAATGTTGTTGTGGTGTTTTTAAGATTTTATTTATTTATTTGAGAGAGAGAGAGAGAGCATGAGCAGGGGGAGAGGCAGATGGAAGGGGAGAGTCAGACTCCCCGCTGAGCAGGGAGCCCAAGGCGGGACTCGATCCCAGGACTCCAGGATCATGACCTGACCAAAGGTAGACGCTTAACCAACTGAGCCACCCAGGCGCCCTGAAAAAAATGTTGTTAATCAAAGAGGTTTATTTTTTTAAAAGCACATAAAAAAGTGCTTTCTCATAGGACTGAAATCGTGACAAGTGGTCAGACTCATTTCAGTGGTTTTCTGTCTGGGGGTTCAGTCTGTGACACAGGCCACACTTGGGTGAGGGCAGAGACAGTTTACTCAGGGCGTCTGCTGATAAAGCGGCTGCTAGATTATATCTGTCAGTGATTTCTGTTAACTAGGACATAACTGAGTTATGACCAAATGCCCTTCTACACATTTTCATTTTAAATAAACTTGATAGAATTTCAAGCTTAGAGATTTACAGAGTATCTGACTCATTTTCCTTTTGTACAAACCGAAGCTTCACATTCCACACTTCAGAACATTACATAGGCACCTATGAAGACAGTATGTTAGAAAGGCACAAACATGGGCACCTGGGTGGCTCAGTTGGTTAAGCGACTGCCTTCGGCTCAGGTCATGATCCTGGAGTCCCGGGATCGAGTCCCACATCGGGCTCCCTGCTCGGCAGGGAGTCTGCTTCTCCCTCTGACCTTCCCCCCCTCTCATGTACTCTCTCTCTCTCATTCTCTCTCTCAAATAAATAAATAAAATTAAAAAAAAAAAAGAAAGGCACAAACAGAAGAAAGGGGCAGCTTTTGGGGAATCCCCCATACACCACAACAGATCACCTAGCATACTCCCCTCACCTGGGAGACATTGAGCTGTGGGACACATTAAAAACTGGGAGACGCCCTTAAACCAGCCAGGTACACGGCTCAAGTCATAATGGAAGTGGATACAGAGATACAGAGGGTCTAAACAGAAAACTCCCTGAATGTTTAAAATATAATTCATTTCACAGAAATATAGTTTACACACAACTCTTGAAAAAAAAATCTGCTAAAAGTGAGGCTCAAGTACTCTCTGATTAATTAACATGAAAAGATGTCTAGTTTGTTTGAGAGACTGTGAAGGACATTATATGATGGTCACAGATACTCTGCTAATTGACCTGCTATTAAAGGATCTGGAATGGGGCACTGGGTGACTCAGTCAGTTAAGCGTCTGCCTTCGGCTTGGGTCGTGATCCTGGGGTTCTGGGATGGAGCCCCACATCGGGCTCCCTGTTCAGCGGGGAGTCTGCTTCTTCCTCTCCCTCTGCCTGCCGCTCCCCCTGCTTGTGTCTCTCTCTGTGTCAAATAAATAAATAAAATCTTAAAAAAAAAAAAGGATCTGGAACAGGGGGCACCTGGGTG